AACAAAGTTTACTATAGTTTCAGAGCGTGCTGAATTCGATAAACTATTCATCAAATCACGGAACCTTCATTCTAACTTGGAACAGCTTCATTCAAGGGTGGCTTTATACTTTTGAAACGCACTGTATTAGATGAACCCCTTGCCAGACCACGTTGCCAACAGCGCGCTTTCCATTGAGAAAACACCTTTGCCGTCCTGGCTCTCGTGTCCTTTAGCGCATATGCATTCCTATTCGGAAATTGATCACTACTCACACAAAACGGCTTCGTCGCGACCGGCGTCTGACCGCTCCTGAAGATGGCCATTCGCACGCGATCGTAGCTAACGCCGTCGAAAGAACGCATGTCACCGCCCACCATGTACATTCCTTGTGTTGTTCGCATCTCCACCCCACTTGTCCGCTCAAGGGACGTTCTGAAACAAGTGAAACTCGAAGAGGATAAGAGATGCTTAAAAAACTTGTGTAGGATGCGCCGCGCATTCGCGCAGTTTTACATCTGGCGTTAGAATGAATGAGAGCAGGCAAAAACAGAATAAAATAAAGGATAACATGGAAGACTGCGAACGTGGCGTCTGCCAAATCTTGAAATCGGTCGGAGGATACGTCAACCCTTCTTGCGACCGGAATGAGGCCGTCGAGGGCAACGAAACATCCTAAAAATCATCTTGGCGCAATCGCAATTTACGGGGGCGTTATGGTGGCAATGCATTTAAAACAGCGGAAAACGTGTCGCGGAGCACCCCACACAAGTTTTTGTTGTGAATTAGGCTTGAAGGAATCTTCCACGGAAAAGCTCCGCCCTCATTACCACAGAAAACGATACCTTAAAGGAATCTTGGATTTTGTCTTGTGTGTAGGATTAGTATTATCGAAACTAACGCTTATGTTCCGTTCTTTTTGCTATGCTCATGAGGCTAGGGGCCTAAGGGGTATCGTTTTTCTGTGGTAATGGAGGCGGAGCTTTTTCCGCGGAAGATTCCTTTAAGGGATTCCAGGCTGCGTTAGCTATTTTTACTTTCTCCGGAGCTTCTGCCTCTCCTAGGTTCAGTCCTGAAGATGGCCCCCGTATATTGCGACAGCGCACATATCCCCTTCATGCAGGGCTTAAAATCGGCACTCGTTGAAGCCTTCTAAATCAGTGTTATCGCACTGAAAATGATAAAAATAGCCCTAATTAACTAATACATCTGTGTTTTTCAATACTGTTCAAATTTTGTTCTCATAGCTATACGAGCATCTCGAGAACAATATTTATTTATTTATTTATTTATTTAAATCCACTGGACACTGCGTGGCTAAAATCAATGCTATAGCTGACTCGCGGCAAGGTGGGTATTAGAGCGCGGGTTCCAAACGATACATTTTAGCGAGTTTTTCAACCGACACCAAAGCCTATCTCCAAATGTTCGCACAGAAAATAATAAACTACGTGTAGAGGAAATTTTGGCAACTTTTGGCAACTCCCAGAATAGGGTCATAGAATTTCTGCACACTTTTCTAACGCTACCCCCCCCATGGTGGGATGCGCAATTCCGATTAGACACGTTCTCTCGCGCGAACATTCACACTCGCATGCTCGAGCCGTCTGTGTCTCCGCCCATACAGCGTGCGTTGAGGATCTCTCAACGTGCCGTTGCGAACTGCGCAACGCAGGGTTGACTCTGTCCCCTCTTTTCCTCTAGAGAAAAAAAACTCCGAAGTTAATGCGAGCGGCCTCGGGAGGGTGTTCCAAATGTAACCGATATCGCAAATTTAGATGTATTTTAGCATTTTCCACGCTGTCCCACCTCCTGAAATTTGTTTTCACTCTCCGTAATCCATGGTTTGTTTCAATACAAAACTGCGTACTTAATTACTTCACTACTTGAGTTCTCCTGGATTTTTAAGGATGGGAATTCAGAAGTCGGTAAAACACGTTCTTTATTCCCAACCTTGAATTCGAAGATCCAATACGATCTCCTGTCAAGAAGTCCGTGATCGTAAACTCGTCCCGCGAAGGCGCTGCTGATCAACGCGCAAAGCGAGCGTCAATCTATACGACGTCGGTCGCGTGTGTTGCACCTATGTAGGCGTTCACATTACTAGTTTAGAGATGCTTCTAATGATGATTCAACTTGCTACTCGCTTGGACAAGTAAGCCGCGGCTCAAATAAAGTCGATTTCACGGTCGACACTTATGGTGAATGGAAGAATCCACATGTTATTTCTCTAGAAAACATTGTTTATGAGGTAAGTCACAAATAAATATTAAAAGAATGTGGGCCTATGGGAAACTGAGGTGGGATTTGGGCTCACACCATCCCGCTTCTACCGATTTTTGGATTAATTTAAGTGATTTGGAGCGAGAAAAGCTGGTTTGATTCTATCGTAAAGGGCGATGATTCGAGAAACTCTTGAAAAGAAATCAAAATTCGTCATACTTTCACTGTATCATGCAGAAAACGCTACGCGACCGCCTCGCTTGCATGTTATGATATTAGCGTGCTTACAAGGACGTAGCATAATTACTAATTACTGAAATGCATAATTACTCAACAGCTGTCCGATGCCCAATATAGTCCATGCGGGTCCAATGTATTTTTGCAGGGATTCCGACTTAAGGCCACTTTGACGGAGATCAGTGGTGAACCCATCGATGAGTGGAACGCGACGTTCGCTAATGCCTCACAACTTCAAGGCATCTACACTTATACGAGTCAACGAGAAGGGCTCCTTGGAACCATCGTGAGCCTCCGATAACTTCCTTACGTCCTCCTTTTTTCTGTTTTTTTTTCTCATCTATTGTTATTGGACTGCTTAACAAGGGGAGCATAACTGTCGTTCCTATTGGTGTAGAATAACCACAAGTTGGTGCATGCCTCGAATGTCGAACGTCCACGCACATTCACCATTCTCCGCAATTATCGTTAGGATAAAATACAACACTGAACGATGATTGAAGCAGGGATTAACATAAGAGGAGGATTCGCTCAATTAAGGCGGTGGTCCAAAGAAGGGGAAATCGCATAGATTGGAACATATCGTACCTCTCAAGGTGCTGACGAACGTGCAATTGGCAGCAAAAGATTCCACCTTCACGATAAAGCACGGCTCTCAATTTGCCGCGGTTGGCGGGCAACGCCCACCGACATCTATTCACTATCGCCGCAGGGCTATACGTAACGAGTAATTAGGTAGCAGAGAGCACGTAGCGTTAAAGAGGGCACAGCGATAAGATTCGCCTCAATGCACATATCAAGGAAGGGGTCCATTTCTCAGGTTTAGGCCTTTCCAATGGTCTGTTAACTCATTCCGTCCACTGACCACCTCTATCCTTACCGTCCCAATGAGATAAACTTGTTCATCGTAATCTGCGCCTTTAGGTTGTGATGGATTTACAGTTGATGTACATGTGCTGAATAATGCGCCAATGGTATGAAAAATCAAAAAAAAATGCGTCAAAACACACAAAAAAACCCATGTGTTTCACAGTTTACGTCCGACTATGGACGAGCCGTCAACCGAAGCAGGGGTTGTTTGCACGTGTAAGCCCAATAGCCCTCGTCCTGCCGACAAGCACCATTCTTTGATTACTGTTGCACTCCACAGAAAAGCTGCAGCATACGCGCTCAATGTGATGGCTCTATCAAAACGGTAATCCAAAAGCTCTGCGGAGCACATGTAGAGGCGGAGTACGCCCAGGACGAGTGGTAGCATGTGCTGCAACGACGCTTTAGGTCACGAATAGGCCACAGCCCGATTCCTTCAGCCCCTGGCTACTGCTTCCATTGGTATATGCGCTTCCATGGAGTACACAGACTGTATCGTAATCCCTCGCATGGAGAGGGTCTACTGAAGAACCCAGTCCTTTGAAAAGTGACAATAAATTGCCCTCGTCTGCGTCCTTGCTTAAACCCATATGAATTCACGGCTATAGCTCCAATCTATCAATCTTTGGGACATAAAAAGTGGCCCACTTCCATGCCACTCCACATACCTTCGCCTATCTTTATTCCCCCTGACTCAGATATGACCCATTGCATCGCTAGAAGCTGCAGTATGCGCTTTAGCAAACCTCCTTCTGCGCTCTGGTCTTTCTCGACAGGGAAACGGGAACATTAGGGGCAGTCCAAGAACATAGCTATGTAGCAGGCTTAAGACAGTGAACGTGATGGCTGCTACATGGAGGCGAAATCTACGCCGTCCGTTAACTGATTGAAGGACGCCAGGGGGGGGGGGAGGGAGAGGGAGGGAGAGAAAAAAGAGCATCTAACCATTCCTCCAGGCATCGAAACTTTAAAAGTTCATTTATGACATTTTATGACTATAACTTTCAAAGTATTCCAAGAGGCAAGCGAAACATTGGAATCAAAAATTTTAACCTTGAAAACGCTTACCTGATTTGCGGCAGCCTTTTATTCTGAAAGCCTACTAGCGCGCAAATAGCTGGCGGCTGGATGACTGACTAGCTGAGTTCCAGGGAAATTTTTGAATTCAAGGCTGAGCTTATTTGAAGAGCATTTTGCAGGCTCACCGTGGCATGGACGACAACGGATGTTCTCCCGCCCCCGCCCCCTCCTCCCCCCCCCCCCGACTACTACCACTGTAGGCAAGACGCGCACGACACAGGGTTTGAGAACATGCACTTCGTTTCCGAGACACAATTCTGGAGGGGGCACACTGTATCTTCAGGTGATGTGGACAAACCGAGGACGTGCGATGAATTTAAGAATCGAACGGATGCTGTGAAGACTATTTACATTAATAATGCAGCAGTAGATGTCTACTGTCAGTACGGTAATCCAGGAGCATATACAGTTATCCAAGAGGTGAAGATTTCATACATAATTGTTGGTTGTTCTACGTTTTGTGGGCAACTGTTAGGACACCAGTTTTGCGGGGGCGCTGCAAGGGACGTAAGCAAACCAGCCCTTTTGGCACATCGGCTGGGACCGTATGCTGAATGTTGGGGAGGGGATGGTGTCCCCGACGGTGGACGGACAACTTCAACGCGGTCCTTAGAACCGCCACAATTTGGCGCTTACCTTAGAACTAAGCCTTAAAGAGAGGACGGGTCCGTCCCCTCTCCTAGGCTTAGTCCAAGGGTGAGCAGACCGGTCCTTCTGGCGAAGCTACTGGACCAGCTGCACCACTTGCGTCAGTACTCTCCTATCGTACCAACCGAGTTGAAGTAAACCGTCGACCGTTGGGGACCCCATCCCCTCCCCAACATTCAGCATACGGTCCCAGCCGATGTGCCAAAAGGGCTGGTTTGCTTACGTCCTACAAGATTCCCTACTGCTGTCCGCAGCATGTGCGCCCTAGGACACTGCGATGACTTTGTCATCTCCTAACGCGCGCTTATTTTTGCGCTACAGTGTAGCCTTTCTGATGAAGCCTCCCTCGCTTATTCTCGTGTCCGGGTGCTAAGTTA